ATCAAGTCAATCTAAAAGACAATAAAATAAAATGTATGTATCCTTTTTCACTATTTCTCTTTCTATATGTATTAATTTTTTTTTTCGTTTCAGCCATCAACATCGTCAAGAAAGAGTGAATGATTATTATTTTTTTTCTTTTCTTTTCTTATTGAGTTTGAGTTGAGAGGAGAATAAGTTAGGTTGAGGTCTCGTACTATATGAGGTCTTTCAGATAGACCTTAAACACCGGCCAGGAACTGTCTTGGTGTCTGTGGCAACACGGTCGGGCTCCAGGCTTACTGACGCATGTCATCGGATGGGTGCATGTGGGTCTTCCCGCGCGTGTACAAGCGTTACGCTCGCCACAGCGCAACCAGAATGGTTCCTGGCCGCGAGCGCGTGAATAGAGATGAAAAAAAATATTTTTTTTCGATTCAAATGCAATTTATTGAATTGAAAAAAATTGAACACGACAATTGTAATGATCGACGACATAGAGATTACCATGTCGATCGAAGGACAAACCAATAGGCAAATTGAACTGATTTGCTCCTTCACCATTTCCACCCACAATGACAGTATCCTGTTTTGCTCCTTTAGGCCAACGCATTACTCGATGATTCCAAGAATCTGCCACATAGATGGTACTCAACGTATCGATGAAGAGTCCATTAGGATAATACAATTGTGTCAGAGAATTCCCGCCGCCTTGACCTCCAGCGACGACAATGCCTTCTTTTGCACCTTTATTCCATTTCATTACACGATGATTGTTGTTGTCTGACACGTAGACAGTCTGTTGTTGATCGACAAAGATGTAAGTCGGAGAGTTGAGTTGATTGAGATAAGCACCTTTGCCATTTCCACCAGCTACGATAGTTCCATTCTTGTCTCCTATTTGATATCGTCTTACTTCATCTTTTTTGCAGTCAGAGACGTAGAGATATCTCTGATCATCCATGAACAATCCATAACAATCGATGTCGTTGATAAGGATTTCTCCTTGAGTTGTGCCACTACGACGAGACCATCGTACAACTCGTTGATTTCCCCAATCGCAGATAATGAGACTATCAGTGTCTTTGTCGATTATCACATCGGTTGGACGATCCCATTGATCTAATCGATTTCCTTGGCCTTTGCCACCAGCTACAACTTGTCCATTCGTATCACCCATCTTCCATTGGACGATACGATTATTCCCGTAGTCAGCAATGATCATTGTTTGATCATCATCAACGAAGAGACCATGAGGCCAGTAGAGTTGATTTGTGGCATCGCCTCGTCCATTACCTCCAGCAACGGTCTTTCCATTTTGTAACCATCGAGCATCGATGGGAATAACTACAATGAACAAAGAAAATGAATCATCATTATCGAAGAGATCTTTGTCTCTCATACACGAGAAAGTACTTTCCGTAACTTATTCTTTAAGAAAAGGACTTCGGAGGAATTCTTTTGTGTCGATAATTATTTCTAATATCTGAAATGTTAAGCTTTCAAAATTCTAAGGAGATTTCCATGTACGAGTTCGTATGTTGTAAAGAAAACAAAATTTTGCAAGCATGAAAAAGAAAGAAAACAAGACAATGAATAGTCCTTTTTTGTAGAGCTTGAAGTGTTCTTTCAAATGATAAGTCTTTCTTGTTTCTCTCTTTCTCTTCTCGTGCTCATCAATTTTTTGTTTCTTCAAAAATTCAGCAATCTTTTTCTTTCTATATCATTTCCAAGGGGCATTGAAAAAAAACATTGTCTGAAACATAATGCTTAGTTCTTTTCTACATCTACTCCGGTATAGCTTGACAAAAAGTTTTAGGGGGTTGAGGAATCGATTGGTACCATTGATTTTTGAAAACTTTCCGATAGATATTTTAGTGAAAAATGGCTTGTTTCAGCTAAAAAAAACTGTGCTACAAACTACGTAAACTAAAAATTAGAAGCTCATTTTCGGAACCACCTCGGATGGCAGTAGCATCATCTGGGATGGTACTAGCATCAATTGGAATGCTATTAGTGCCGCTTGAAGTGCTAGTAGCGTCACCTGAAATGTTAATAGCATCCTAGGTGATGCTACTAGAATCCCAGTGGAAGCCCTGAGATCCCAGGTTACATATCTAGTGAACATTAGTTCTAACTTCCGAGCTAGTATCTCAGTGGAATGCGATCTTACTGCGATAAACCACAAAACGTGGATTGAATTTTATTGGGAAAGGGTGGATGGGTAAGTGAGCTCCATGTTTGGAGTTTACATGCGGAGCTCACTTTTTTGAACCCGTTTTCGAGGAAAACAATGATGTCTTGTCAACTTTGACTAAAGGTTTTTGGCGTCCAGGAATCGATTGGTGGCATTGGTTTTTGGAAAATTTTCGAAAGGATTTTTTTCACTGAAGAAATGATTCTTTAAGAAAATTATGATTTTTCATAAAGGTTGACTTAATGTTGTTGAGAGTGGAGAACTCGGGTCCATCAATAATTCCTCAAGATTAGTGAATTCGAGGATCACAATGTGGGATATCAATTCAGTCAATAAAGTATCACAGAGTGCACCAAATAATCCTTCTTACTTCAGAATAGAGCTGATTATGGTTCGGAGAATGGCTGCCTTATTTTTTGACAAGCATTTTTCAACGTCATTCAAGTTCAAATCATTGTTTTTTTTTATGGTTTTTGTTTGAGATTATCGAGGAGACCAACACGATGATGAGTTATATGAATTTAAAAGCTATGCCGTGTAAAGGTATATTTCTTTGTTCCCTCGATTGTCGGGAGGCTGATGTGAAAAGAATTGAAAAAAGTTTGTCTGTTTGTGGTAGGGTAAAAAAAACAAAAAAGGTGAATTTGTTTTCATAACAGTCGACAAAAGTTGATTTCTCATAATTTTGAGTTGAATTTTTTGGGTTCAGGAAAGGGTTTTTTGAGAAATTAACGATATATCCTTGACTTAAGGGAGGATCATATGAAATAAAATAAGTTTCTATGTGTTGGGGTCAAAAGAACGCCGGAGGCAAGGAAACATCCACCAAAAGATTTATGGTCAATTTGAGAGGAAGAACATATATGCTCGGACTACATTGTAAGAGAATTAGTGCATGAGTTTAATTCAATCATGACAATGCACTGCGAGATGTTTGATTAAGTAAAACTCTTTTACAAAATAGTCGTCACTGAAAATACTATAGATAGATTTTCGTCTGTGCGTGTATTGCACAATAATTGTTAAAGCCGGACAGAGAAAATGATAACAAGATTGACTTCAGTCGAAGATTAAGTCAGTCCTACCGACGAGCGTTATTTGTCTCATATCTTGATAAGAAGCTAGATGAATTTTGAGAAATGAAGGAAAAAAAGAATCTTTTTTTCTCTGTACACTGCCTTGGTTTTCTCCTCAAACAATTGATATAAACAATTTAAGTATTTATTCTGATCGAGTAGCTTTTATTCATGTAATTATCATAATCTTTGTCCATTAATATATGACTGAATAGAGCAACAATTTTTGATTTTTTATTAATAAATAAGACGTCTAAAATTTCAGCAGTAAAATCTATTTTTCTCTCACTATTCGAAATAGCTTCATACTATATTTTATGTAACATTATTTTTCTCGTCAAGATATGAAATAAATCAAAAGAAAGCTATACCATTAGATAGACTAATCAATGCTCTATCAAATTATATGGAAATAAAAAATTCTTGAAGTGTTTGGCGGAAAGCAAGTTGATAGAAGGAACTTCTTCTTTGAAACCAATATAAAGTAGGTTTATTGCATTGGGTTTTAGTGAATTAGTGCTGATCTTTGTATTGTCAACAGTGTATTTCTGGTGAAGTATCTTATATATCCACGAAAAAAAGAATAAAGTGTTGGAAAACTATTACCGTGTACTACAAAAGTTACAATTCACTCGTATATATGTGCATCTACTTGTTTCTTTTCTGTTTAACAAATGAGAAAAGTATTATGAACTTCGTTCATATCTTTGCCAATATGGTTATCATTATGCAGGATGTTTCCAAAAGTCCGCTCGAAAAAGAAACGTGATTCTTTCTTTAACTGTTCAAACGATTGACTTGAGGTTTTTCAAGTTTCTTTTCAAAAACTTTCGATTTGCAACATATCTGTAAAAAACATTACGCAAATTTTTCTTTTGAAATTTTGTTTTGACCTTATTATGGATTTTCAAATTCAACTTAATGAGATCTTTAACCGATGTCTTGCAAAAATGTTTGTAAGAAAAATCATCGAGTCACATCAGGTCAACTGACCTATTGCACTTGTTTGGAAAGATGTTCTTTAAAAATTACAGATTTCACGGCTACAATGTGGAAGAGTTTCATCTTTGTAAAATACTATAGGGTTCATCTAACATAAAGTTCGTAATTCTAGAATAGAAGAAAGACTAAACGTATAATAAAATTTTTATTTTTGTTGAAAATGTTACCACCAAAAAAAAATTGTCCCAACAGTCCATTTCCTAACATTGTAACGTAAATGTTGTCTTTTAAAGATTGCATAACAATATCAATAGTTCTATGTGAATTTTTTTCACTCCGCTAGCTCGCTATATTTTAACCTGCTGCTAACGGTTGTTATAGAAATTTTTAAAATAAAAATTTATGTAATGTTCTTACAGTTTTGTTGCAAAGCGGATGTTTGAGTATTGCATTTGTAAGTAATCATTTCGTATATTTGTTATAGACAAATTTATATGAAATAAAACTTTAATGAATATGTAATGAAACTATAAAAACATCAAGTAAATCACTTGAACAGTTACAGAGATAATCACATTTCTCTTTCGAGCGGACTTTTTGAACACCCTGTATAAGTAGTTTGAATTTTTTAAATAAGAGAGTTCTTAGAAAACAATTAGTGAACTTTTTCAATTATAGACTATGCTGAACGCAACTTTTTACTGAGCAATCAAATACCGGTCATTAGAAATGACTGACTGCTTAGTAAGAAAGCTTTTCAAACATAGATTATTGATAGCTCGAGAAAAGCGCAGAGAGATATGTTTAGGAACATACGTCTCATCTCGTTTTTACAGACTACATTTTAATGTCGTTCAGAGATGTACTTATCATTCAAAGGCAAGGCTGGATAAAATAGAATTCGGAGTATACCATTCAAAAGCTCTTTCTATGCGGATTGTTAATAGGTATTCTTTATTATTGTAAAAACCGTTTTACTAGACGAAAAATCGAGAGAGACTTGAAGGGTGTTACGAATATGATATGACTCATTCTATGACTAAATCTCAGTGAACATTTCTGAGTATTGATTCTTCTAGCAATGTCTTCTCATCAGTTGAACACCCCATAAAATAAACATAAACCCAGAACGGGAATAACGAATCGAGAGAGAACATTTTGAATCTGTTTTAAGTCTCAATTGGTCCTACTGGTCGGTCAAATATCACTTCGATAGACGAATGGATCAACTTTGTGAGAATACTCTATCGAGATCGTGCTATACTTCTGATGTGAATACCCATGAGGCATCGATTGGAATATTGAAAATAACTACAATGAACAAAGTACTTTTCGCAACTTAGTCTTTAAGAAAAGGACTGTGTAAGAATTCTTTTGTGTCGACAATTATTTATAATGTCTGAAATGTTAAACTTTCAAAGAGAAAACTGCTGAACATGAAATTCTAAGTAGATTTCCATGTTCTACTGAAACTCATTGTCTCTCTCGCGATTATGACATGTTTTTTAATGTTGTAAAACATATTTAAACGTCTTACTATCATGCAAAAATTCAACTCTCTCTAGTTCATACTGTAGTTGAGTTATAAAAGTTACAATGTACAAAAATCGCATTTTTTTTACAGATATGTGGAGAGCGTGATCTTGTTTTCTTTGGAACTTTTTTCGTTTGAATTCAAGTTGAATTCACTTTGTGGGTGTGATTTCTTTCTGTAAATTAAATTTTGAATTATTTAGAAGAAAGCAGCTTATCTGTTTCCTCAGTGGAATCAAGGAAAACTTTAATCACTTTATCTCGTATTTATTCTTGAGAAGGTTAAAGTTTGTTTTTGTCTTTCATTACTCATAAAACTTATCGAATACGGTTCAGGTGAGAATGAAAGATAAAAAGATCTCATTCAATGTTTTTGATTTGAGTTTTAGAATCAGAAGTGCATGTTATTGTCATCTTTCTATTGTCAAAACAGCCTATTATCGTGGAAGTTATAGTACTACTACAAAATTATAGAACTCAAAAAGATTGAACTGTTTCAATAGTATAGAGTAGTCGAAAAAAAGAGGTTTTGTGATAGACCATGCGAAGTCAAAAAGATATTATCTATTCCAATCGATTTCTATTACCTCCGGATTTCTGAATGAAGAAAAGATATTCAAAAAACCTTTTTTACAGACTACAATTATTAAATCT